GTATAAAGAATATATTAGTATTGTGAATTTGGAGAGTTTAGTATAAAATTTAGAAGGATGTTAAGAAGTATATGAGTAGAAATTGTTGTTATTTTAAGTGATATTAATATATTATTAATTGTATTAATTAGTGCTTATTAAATATTTAGTTATTTTTTGTATAGAGAAGAATATTTATAGTGTTTTTAATAGATAGTTATTGTGTACAATTAGGTATTGTATATAAATAAGAATAGTGAATATTTAAATTTTATATTGTAAACAAGTTGTTTGTTAAAATTTTAATTCGAAAAATATATTTTTTTAAGTTATACTCTAGTAAGTTTAGAATTTTAACTATTAGAGTCTATTTAATTTCTGAGTTTTCTTTGAAAAATTTTAATGAAGCCTATATTGCTAATTCTTGAATTATAAATATAGATTTAATAAATAATCAGATTTTAAATGAAATAAGATAATTATTCTATAAAAAGTAAGTAAAGATATTAAAGTAAGAATATAAAAGCTCTAAAATTAGTTTAGTAGTACCTTGTTTAGCAAGTAAGTCTGCTTGATTATAAAAGGATCTATAGAATATGATTTAATATTTATAAGTAAAAAGATAAGGTTTTTGGTTTTTTTAATTGAGTTAATAATTTGTATAATATTCCAATTTTTGTTTTGAATTGTTTTGAAGAAAGAAAAGTTTAAAAGATTTTTAATTGCAATTATATTGTCTAGAAAAATTGTTAATATTGAGTTAGAATAGTTAAGAGAAGAGAGATAATTAAAAATAATTCAATATGAGTAGAGTCAGAATAGAAGGAGTTGTAGCATTAAATTTAATAGATAAATTGCTTCTATAAATCTATTTTATTCTTGTTTGAATATTAGGAATTTGTAAGTTTTTGATTGAAGTATCTGTATAAAATTGTAAATCATTTGAAAATAGATTTTGAATAGATAAGAAGAGATTAGTTAGTTGGTTTTGATAAAGTAGTAAGTTTATAGTTTGTTGAATAAGTTGTATTTCAGGAAATGCTAAGGTAATTTGTGATAATAATTATGGAGTTAGTTAGTTTATTATTATGTTTAAAATATGAATAAATACTAAAATTTCTTTATAGCTAATTTGAATTGAAATCAAATTTTTCCTTAATAATAATAGCTGTGGAATTATTAAGATGTTTTTTATTAAGAAAAATAGCATAAGTAATATTTTGTAAATAACAGATTGCATATGTATATAGATAATAAGAATGTATAGCAATCAAAATTATAGATAGATCAATATTTTCAACTAAGATAAATATTGCAGAAAGAAAAAAAATAGTATGAGTATATTATGAAATAAGTTTAATTAGTAAAGGAGAAAGAAGTTCACTTTTGTTGAATAGTTTGATACTAAGATTAGTGATTAGAGTTGAAGTAGTAGCAAAAATAGAAGTAGATAGTCTAGATACATTATTGTATTTGAATCTTTGTGAAGTAAAAGTAGTATAATATTTTCTGCAAAGATATGTTGCAACTTGTAGTTGTTCTAGTATATACATATAATGTCAATTCTGTTTTGTAAGTTTGTATTGTTGAGGATTAAAGCAAGCAATAAGAACATGTGCTTTGCTAGCATCTGCTTCAATAAAACTGATACTATAGCAGTCAGAATAGTAGGAAAGAAAATAGTCAATACTATAAGAATCTGGAGTAGTGTTAACTAAAGTAGGCATATTAAAGTATATTTAATAAGAGAAGTAATAAGAGAATATAAGAAAAATAATAAGTAAAAGAAACTAGAGATATGTTGAAAAAAAGATATAACAAAATAAGAGATATGATAAATAAAAGGATATGATAAATAAAGAGTGTAACAAATAACAGTATAACAGATCAGATATGACAATTAAGAGGTGATAGATAAATGAGTAACAGTAATTTATAGTATACCAAAATTGATAAATATAAAACAAAGTTTTGTATTAATTAAAAAGAAATCTAATTTTAGAAACTAATTTATTTTGATTTTTTTGTGTAATTGAGATTTGTAAGCCTGTTATAACCTATTTAAAATATGTTAAAGGTAATTAGGTCAAAGAAAATTCCCTAAAATTTGCAAAAAAAAGAAACAAATTTTTTGCAAAAAAATTTCTAAAGATATTTAAATAAAAAATTAAGTTTTGATCTATTTTTGATATATTATATATCAAAATGAAGCTAATAGTATGCTGGTTCTTTTTGAATTAAGAAAGAAAAGTTGAATACTTAATAAAATTTTGAGTTATTAGTTATAAAGTATTTCTATGCTTCAGTTAAGATATTTTGTTAAAAAGCTAATTACAAGATATGAAACTATACTGCCTAGATATAAAATTATATATAGAACAACTTTACTTAAGTAGCTAAAGGTAATTTACTTAGTAGAATTTTTAGATATTGCAAATTTTTTTCAAGAAAATTTAGTACAAATGATCATTGAAAAGAGTTAATAATTTGTCTACTAATTTAAATTCTAAATAATATAATTAAATATTACAAACAAAATAATTAAGAAACCTAGATTCTTTTCCAAGATATATCTAAAGCTTTTAACTAAATTAATATTAACTAACTAGTAGACTCTTGTAAAAGAATTAGAATACTACAAATATATACAAACTTTATTACTAATCTTTACTAAAACTGTAAAATATGTATTATTACTATTTATAGTTTAACTGAACTAATAAATCTTCTTTCTAACATTGAATAAAGAGAAACCTACTCATCTCTATTATAGAAAATATATTATGATCCAATTCTAGCTTATATAAATAACAAATACTAAAACTTCTTTCTCAAAATCTAAACTGTATCTTCTATTGAACAAACTCTTCAAAATATCTCTTAACCTATTACTATTCTTTCTCTAGTATTTATAGATAATACAGTCTTGTACTATAAAATTTTCTCTTCTTTACAACAACTACTCATTGATATCAACAAACTCTACTAACTAAATAATATACTTATCAATCTTCCAAATCTAATCTTTTACATATTACTCTAAAAAAATCTTTTTTTTTTATTTTTATTTTTTTTTTTATTTGATAAACATGCTATCAATAAGATTTTTATTAGTATAGATAGTTTTGAGCAATAATTACATATATGAGAGTACAACTAGCCACATGTACAACTTTAGATTGTCTAATTTAAGTAGTCTGCTTGAAGGTTCTACACTAGCTACTATACCTGAAATTTATTTAAAAATTCCCTATTTAAACTCTCTAGCTATATGCTATTCCTATTCCGCTATCATTTATTATCTAAATTTATCTAACCCTATACTATTTTTATTTTCAGAAGATATTAACAGAGCTAATATGAATTTACAAACTTTATAATTCAAAGCCTAGACCTATCTCAGGTACTCCTTTACTAACTTCCTAATTGATATATACTGTAGTATCCAAATATATGCTATATTCTAATTTAGCTTGTATATACTCTTGTTTGATGTTTATACAAATCTAGTTTCTACTGTGGCTCTCTATTGAATCAGTTGTCTGTGCCTGCAAATATCACATGAGATAGACCCTCTCAGATCTGATTACCACTCAGACTAGTGCTGCTAAAAGTTGTCTGTGCCTCCAGATATCATACAGAACAGATCCTCCCAAATCCAGTTAGCTATCAAGCCAGGTTGGTATTGCTATATGACCTCATATAACAGACTTATTTACACCTATTCTGCTGATCTTTTTGTACTCAAAGTTCCTAACAGACTTACTTACATCCTAGTCACTAATCTGTTTGTACAAATTTTCTTTTCTGTATCAAGCATTAACTGGTATGACTGTTGAAATCCATACTACTTCACCTAACTTAGAATTTCTACTATGCAGATCCCCTGCCTGTAGATCCTATCAAGATTTATTCATGTAATATTATGTCCTTCCAAATGCCCATCACATTTCCAATACTCTGATTGGCATTAGTACAACATGATTTACAGAATTACAACTCCAGAAACAAGTAGAGTTTACCGTAAGTTAGATACAGATATCTAAGTAATTATTCAATTCTGTTAACAGTAGGATTTGAACTCTAGACCTCTAGCATGGCAGTCTGACAACCTAACTACTACACTAAGATCACTAGACCTTCTCTAAAAAAATCTAAAAATTCTAATTCCTGTATTTTAAAAATGCATTATTTATATATAATTCTATACACATATGAAATTTAGAATTTTGTTGCACTATGACTTGAAACCAGATAAATTTTTTTATATATTAAAACTGATTAAAACTAACTTTAATATATGAAAATAAGCCAGTTTCAATTAGTCTTAAACCATGTTATTAAAAATAAAAATTTCGACTAATTTCGATTTGAGCTAAAATTAAAAACATGATACAAATTTGATTTTATGTGAATATCACCTGATGTTATTTACTGTAATGAATATCGAAAATCTATGATTGGTTAAAAATTATTTATGGCGCTTTGCAATAAAGTGTGTTACTGTGATTTTTGTGATGATGGTAGTTGGAAATTTCGGAGATATTAATTATATATTTCAATAAACAATTGTATATATTGTTTAAAATCTTGAGAATCAAAAAATTTGCTGATTTTTTGCAATTTCACATGACATCGTGATCTGCAGATGTCACACTTTATTGCAAAACGCCATAATTGATTTTTTAACCAATCATATGTCTGCTTTTTCTAGATTCCCGATTCCCAGTGATGTGGAAAAGCGAAATAAATAGAAGTATATAAATTAAATTGAGGCACGTAAATTGGTTAAAAATTTATACTTAAAATCAATTTACATATTTTAATGTAAGAATATTTCAATATAATATAAATATATTTGCTACTGCGCAAGATAGTCATGCTAGCATACAAATTAAATTATAAATAAAACTATTAGAAGTTGGTACATTAAGCAAAGCGACGCCAACTTTTATATTATTATAGACAACACCTAAATACATTTAAAATATAGTTTTTTTAATATATTAAAATTTACAATATTATTTACTTCCTGGAGTAGCAATAACTTCGAAACCCTTAGCTTTATACAAATTCCAACAAGCACGTAAACAAAAAAGTACCAATGTAGTACCTATTACTGCACTTATAATTGAAACAATAAATATAACTAAACTAATATTATTATTTGAATTAATTGGCGACTTATTCAATAATGTATTTGGAGTTGAAATTGAACTTTGACTTGGGTTTCCATTAAATTTTGTTA